CTCCCTCCCTCTCTCTCTATCTCCCTCTCTCTCTCTCTTTCTTTCTGAGAAATCCACTGGGAAAGGCATTGTTTTGATCTGCGCGACATAAATGCATTTTCAAACAAGAGTCGCTAGGTGGCGATCTAGAGGGAGGGTTCAAAGCAGCGTGAGCGAAGCCTCTCTTCATAAAGTCCCGCTGCGGAAGAGGAAGCGGCACGTGCGGTGCTCTACGGTGGCCGAGAAGACTGCTTCTACTTCCTTACCCCTGACTACCTAAGCACCCCGGGAAGGTGCAGCGACAGTGGTTTTTGTAGTCGCAGCTCCGAGAAGGGCGTCCGGCCAGCCGGCACCATGGTGAAGGAGCAGTTTCGCGAGACGGATGTGGCTAAGAAAATGTAAGGACGCAGCCGGAGGGGTGGGGGTGAGGTGGAGGCTGAGGTCCCGGGTCCCCGAGGGTCCCAGGTGAGGGACAGTTGTTAAAGGAGCGAAGAAAGAAGTTCCAGGATGGGATTTCAGATCCTGGTGTGGGAGAGTTCCTTAGGTACAGTGGAGAAAGTGGGATGGATGGAACCGTGTCGGAACAGGTATTCTAGGCAAAGATGCCACCTCCCGAATCCCTGCGCTGATTCCTCTGGCAATCTTTTCGCTAAAAAGATTTAGCGAATCTTTTCCTCTGGCACGAGGAGACTGTGTATGCTGACTCAAGATTGCCAGCTAGAAAGTGGCCTCACAGGCGGCTAGGTGGCAGACTCAGAAACCAAGCTGGTATTCTGGGCTCTCTGTTTCAAAGCTTAACTATTAAGCCCTAGACCCTCCTTATGAGTTTTCAGTTTTTGTTTTTGGGGGTTTTGTTTGTTTGGAGGAGGAGGGAGGCTTAAGGCGAATCTTTTTTTTTTTCCTTCAACTTGCATAAGAGAGTGTATTGAGGCCAGTGTTCTGCACTAGGCGTTCTGCACGAATGCAGTCTTTCTGCTTGGTCTGTTGTAGAGTAGACAAATCAGCCATGGTTGTGGCAAATGCAGGGACAAGCAGAGGGGATATGGAGAGCACCAAGTGATGAATAAGTTGGGGCTCAGTGCAGACCAGGCCTCTTTTTAAAACGAGTACTGGAGGTACAGGGTGGGCAGATAGAAGTGGAGCAGGGGACGAATACTATGTGAGTCTTGAAAGTCCTGTCAAGCTTTTGGAATGTTTGCTTAGGACACAGTTTGAGGTCATGACAGTGATCCAGACTGGCAATGATGATGACTTGAGCTGGGACCAGAGGTCTGAGGGTGGATGTGGGGACATTGGAGAGAAGTGGATTTAAAGGGGCATAGGGCATAAAATGGAAGAGAGAAGTAGAGACAGAGGTAGGAAAGAGATGAGAGTGA